TTTAATGCTGATCTTATTTAGTTCTTTGAACCAAACAACCTCTACTTGCCAACCCAGTGTGAGTTCTGTCGATAGTGCTATACTGTGGACCACCTGATTCAACTCGAGACCTCGATCAGGGTAGCCTTTCTGAAGAGGGAACATCTTGTTTCTGTTTTCTTCGTTCTTGAGAAGGCTTACGACATTACATGGAGATATGGCATTTTCGGGACCTCCATTCATATCTAAACTTTTTACTCGACAGGTGATTCCAAGTCCATGTGGGTTCGACAGTTTTTCTATTCTTTCACACAGGAACTTGGAGTCTCTCAGAACTGTGTCTTGAATGTCACACTTTTCAGTAACAAGATCAATGTTATCACTTCACAACTTCTTCATACTGTTGCTAATGGACTTTATGTCAACGACTTCCACATCTCATGTCGTTTGTCGAAAATGAGGTTTATTGAGCGACAGCTTCATACTGCCCTCAATCATTTGTTGAAGTGGACCACAACAAATGGTTTTTACCTTTTCTTTTTCAAAAACCGTTTGCATGCATTTTTGCGATCAGATGAGGGCTATACTCTGATCCCAAGTTCCGTTTCAGTGTTATTCTTCCCGTAGTCTCTGAGGCAAAGTTCTTGGGGCTTATCTTTGACCCTAAGCTTAATTTCATTCCTCACATAAAGCAGCTACGTGTCAAGTGTACAAGGGCACTGAACATCCACTGTGTCCTCTCTTCCACCTCGAGGAGTGGATCGATATTCTATGCTCAGTATCTGTTGTGTCCTCATTCGATCCAAATGCATTGGTCACAGGTTTTATCTCATTGTTTTATTTTATCTGGTACCGATCCACCAATGTGTAGCTTTTGTGGCACTCAAGTAACAATAGCCCACATTTTACGGTTGTGTTGCCATTACGACCGGGAGCGGCAGCACAATTTTTAACATATACTTTCTACAGGTTTACCCCTGACATAAAACGGTGTCATTGACAATGGTGACACTGTCCAACTTGACTGTTTTTTAGGTTTTTACGAGTTTTAGGCTCTTTGAACTGTATTTACATTTTTTTTACTTGATTTTCGAACTTTGTTTAATTTTTTAACTCTTTCCTTTTAAATACTTTACTTTTGAAATTTTTACCGGTTGTTTGGCACAGATAGACCTGTTGCTTTGCGCCATTAAATGGCAAACAACCAACCAAACAATTCCAAATTATTTTCCCTATGATAAAAAAAAACATATTCCAAAACATTTAATTGGTTCTCTCGTCCAATGTGACCTAAAAGAAGTATGTGCACAATGTCATCATTGTCACAACGAAGTTGCTTTTGTTTTATGTAAATTTGAACAGGCACTACTGGCTCTGGAATAGAGATCAACGATGTTGAGAGCAGCATACTTTAAAGAGGTAGTGTTCAACAAAAAGAAATCTACATCGTCAGAATAACTAATGTACCAACTGAGAAAAGAAAGCCTGTTGGAGAGATTGCTTACCTGGCACATAAGCATTAACAAAATGAATCTTCCACCCATTAACAAAAACATCAAATGTTAAGATACGTCCTTCAGCATCACTATTAGATGTCAAAATAGTACCTGTAAAATAAGATTAAAGATAATTCGAACTCCACAATTATGATACATTCCAAAAAACCAAAAATATTTAATATTAAATTTATTCACAAAACGAAAATAATCATGCGTGTTATAAAAAGGAGACTCTTAAAAAAAAACATCAACAAAAATCTGTTAACCAGTGAATAAACATAAAATTGTTTGGAGACATTATGAAAACTCTGTTAAGTGTCAAGCAACTAAATAAGATAAAGAAAATAAACATGATTAAAAATGTTGATGCTTGGTAGTAACACTTTCAACAGAACTGAAGTGAACCTGCTTAAATCCAAGACCATCTCAACATCTTTCATATCCATAATGGCACTACAACTGGAATCAGTAAGAGAACAAACATTTGTACTCGGTGCAGGTAAAAGAAGCGGCACTTTAATTGGTAGGTAAGGCTATACAGGAAGCGGAAAAATAGATAATTGGGAATCCTACAACATATTACTGCTTTCAGAGATACCCTGAAGAGAAGAGAACTCTGATAACACAGTTGATGATCAGTGGACAGCTGAGGAGTGACAATAGTAGGAGCCAAAACCAAAAACTGCATAAAGATCAGGAACTGGGTGTACTTCTTGTGAAGAGCAGATAGGCATGGAAACTTCAAAAGGGATAACATGGTAAACAGCAAGAGATGGCAATACAACAGAAGACAATAGAAGTTGAGAAATAAACTCCTCGGTAGGTGGCACATTAACATTACTCGCATCCTCACCATGGTCGGTAGAATTAGAGAGAACTTGGTGCACTACAGTAGAATAAGAAACATTTAGGTTTGGTTGTACAGTTGTTTCAGAAACTGGAGCAACTAGTGTAGTAGTTACTGATACTGGACTTTCAGCATTAGTATCTTTACCTTCTAATTCACCAAAAGTAGTACATTCAGAATGTTCATGACCAAAATTAAATTACCTGGAACATTTGGGTGTGTCACAATTCCTGGTTGGATGACCCTCCAAAGCACAACGTCTGCAAATTCTGACAATACTAGCATAATGGATCATCAATAATGATGTACCAGCATGAACACAATTTGGCACAGGAAGCCGCATATCCATTTACACCCGTCTAGTTCCAGTTCAAACTGTCCAATGCAGTTGATAATGCTCATATTTGACTTCAAAAACTCGACCATAACTACACAAAGCTGATGCAATCACGCCTGAACCCATCTCGTAAAGAGCATCACGAACAGTCAACCAATTAATATTAACACCTACTGGTTGCACTACTAGTTTATTTCATTTGTAAGAGAAGTAACCTTATCCAAGTAACTGCTGTACAATAAGGGATGTCAGTGTTGCCTCATAACGTCCAGCACCATGACGTTGAAGACACTATCACACCCGATCCAAATTCTTGATACAAAGCCTCAATAATAGCACTTGTTTGAGCTGGGGAAGGCATGACGAACTTCACAGAACATGGGCGATTTAACATTTGCGGAGACGCCATTCCCTGACACAGGACGAAACAGTTCAAACATTAACATTAAACTCCACTATTATACACTAAGAACAAGAAAATTAAAAATCACCAACAACTAAACAATTAACAAAAAATATACTCACAAACAGTGTTGTAACCAAAGTTGATAATCAATGGGTTGGTACACCACATTTTGATCTTAGCCAAAAAGTGATAGAGACGTTTGACTCAGAAGAATATTATACATTCGTGTTACACGACGTCCTAGATTGGTGCAGTCACAATGTGTGACTGTTGTAACCATTTTCCATGACGACACATTGTTTTTTACTTAAAAACAATAATTTAAGAACATTACTCTTTATTAGGAGGAAAGAAAAGTAGGTAATAAGAAAAACCGTAAAGAATCTTGTATGTTTTCGTATAAGCTGTGTTTACTTTAAAGACCTGACCCCCATCGGCCAGGAAACAAAGCAAGTATGGAATAATTAACAATACTATTTGGCCTTTTTGCTATTTCGGATTCTATCAAAAAGGCGAGTATTTTTACTAAAGAAACAATAACATGATTCATATATTATTCAGAATAAAACCCCTCAAGGTACCAATCCTTTTGGGCTGATCTCTACGATTATAATCGCCCCTTTACACTGGTACAATTGAAGCTTGCTCTTCATTGGTCTGGCAGCACATCAGTCGGACCTGATGATGCTCACTATGAAATGCTGCACTATCTCTCTCTTGTTATTCTTCTAGTTGTTTTTAACAGGATCTGGCAGGAGAACATTTTTCTTGATGCTTGGTACCAGGCTGTTGTACTCCCTTTCTCTAAGCCTGGGAAGGAACCAGTGTGGGTTTCGACAACAGTGCTCCACCATGGACCACAAGATCTATTGTGCTCTTATTCAATCCAAACTGGACTATGGGTTTATGGTTCTTCCAGGGGCACGGCCTTGAAGATGTTGGATCCCATTCACCATCTGGGACTTTCCATACTTCTCCAATCCAGAGTTCGTAAACCGAGTCCCATGAACCTCCTCTTCACCTCTGCCGTTTGCAACTTTCTCTACAGTTTGCTTCCAAGCTTCGATCCTCACCACAGAATCACACCTGGGGTTGTGTTTTTCTTTCTGGGTGGGATGTTCTCTTTCAGAATAGATGGTCTGCCATTCCTACCTTTGGTCTTCATATCCAGGCACAACTGGCTGAATTGGATCTGGCATTGGATAACTTTCCCAATGATCAACCCATTCTGCCATGGCTTTTTACCATCCCCAGCTATGACCTTTCCTTGGGTCATCCGAGGAAGGCAGATTCTCGTGATTGGAAGTACTGTCTTCTGTTTGTCGAATATCTTTCCAACCATCCTTCTATTCTCGTTTATACGGATGGTTCGAAATCAGGTGAGTCTGTGGGCTCTGGTATGGTTTGTTGTGGCTCGGTATGTATTCACAGGATCCCCTCTATAGTTTCTCGTCGATATTCAACAATGGGTGGCCCATTTTTTTTAACTTCCAATACTATCCAGTTTTTCTGGATATCTGGCCATGTCGGTATTCGCGGGAACGAGCTCTCTGATACTGTAACTAAGTCCGTCTGCTCTGGCGCCGTCACAACCGTGCCTGTCCCATATATGGACTACGGATCTGTATTCAAGACGCGGCTTCTGCGATTAGGAGTAGTCAGCAACGTGGGCGGAGAGCTTGCTTTCCATGAATGCGTATTGGGACTAAGGTTTCAGGAGGGTAGCATATCTCGAGCGTGGGCGCACTTGATGCAAATCCCGCCTCTTCTTCCTTAAAAACACAATTTCAAAAATATTACTCTTTGTTCCTAGGAGAGAAAAGTTGGTAATAACAAAAAACTATTGAGAATCATAATTTTTTTCTTAAACATTATGTGTACTGTAAGGATCTCACCCTAGCGGCCAGCAAACATAGCAAGTACAGAACAATGAGTAAAACAATTTTTACATTTTCGGTTTTTAGGGGCAAGGTGTGTAATCTGTATTAAAAAGCAATAACAAGTTTCACTTATTAACTAAAACAATACGAGAATTTTCTTCCACTGACACTTTTTTAGGATGAAAATGGTCGTATAATAACATCTTAAATATTTGTAACTGGATGTCTAGAAATTAACTTAAACTTAAAAACTTGTTACCTATTTTTAGTCTATACTATGATTAGTAATAGTAGTATTACTATGAGTAAGAAGGTTTAGCCCGAAAGTAAACATTAACCTTAACTAAGTCTCAAGTACGCCCCTTAAATAGGTTTGTTGTGAATTTTAACGTTATCTCATAATTATAATTTATAGTTTGATTGGAACGTATTTTTTTTTAATAATTGGGTAACGTTTTAAATATGGCACTACTCATACACGCCAATGATGGATGGCTGTTGTCACATGAAATATTTCTGGAATCAATGTATCGTAATTTACATTATTGTGTTCAAGCAAGTGTTCCTGACACAGTCCCAGAATCCAATCATTCAGAAATAAGGCCTATTTCTTGTAATCTTGTTCCAGTGACAACTTGCTACTTGAACTTGAAGTCTAATGTTCAATTTAAGATCACATGTGATGGAACTTGTGACGCTTGTAATAATGTCACCGTTGACAATAAAAATCATGAAAAAATACTAAATGCAAAGCCAAAGAAAGATATGTTTGGAATAAGAACACCTTTTTTAATGGATTCTGCTGCAAGAAAAATTGCTAAATTAAAAAGGCATTCTAGCGAAACACAGGAAAGAGAAGAAAGTAAATCGAAAAAGGTTTCATTAAAGGTAAGTTTAATTTATAAAAATACCCTATTTCAGTATTTGATTGTTATATAAACATACATAATTGTTTTCAAACAACATTTATTTTAGACTAGAGAAGGCAAGTTAACATACTTGAATTGTTACTGAACTTGTGTTAAACTAAGTTGGTCATGGTATTACTACATTTTGATGCTGAGATTTAGTGCCTACCTTCTATTTCTACCATACCATTAAGATTCTGATTCTGAATAAGAGTTGCCTTCAGATGTGGTAGTTGCAGTCTTAGGGAAGTAGTTGGGACTTTACAAAAACTAAGATTTTGAAGTAAACATTGAATATGTATTTAAAGCATTAAATGTGTATTCCTTGTCACTTTGAATTATGTCTATATGTGAATTGCAAAAGAAGTTATAAAATTTATACTGTAGTGATTAAGTGACTCCAACACTACAGTATGTTAGCCCATGTTAATTCTGTAACCAGTGAAGCTTGAGGGCACACAGCTGTCCTCATATCGTCATCGTTCTGAATTTTTAAATTAAACAAACTGCAAATTCAACCTTGATAATAATATATAATATTACTGTTTGAATAATATGTAAGTAATTAATCTTTTTTTTTCATTTTTAAATATTTCAATGACATGGAGGTTGCCATGTTGTTGTTTACATTCTGAAATGACATAGATGCCTGTAACTCATTACAGTAGCCTTGTAGGCATTTGAAACTCAGCATGCATGAATATTACAATTATATGTACAAGGAATTATATCATATAATCTCATACAGTATTATAATAATGTATTTGGATGAACAATGTTTAAATTTGTACTGAGAAAACCTGATTTTATGTACCAGTGAATCTACCATGTTCTTCTTATTAAAATGGACAAATAGAGAAACATTTGAATATTGTAAGAGTGATTAATAAGCTCAGACAACTCAAGAACTACAGTCTATATACAGTATGAATGATTACAGCATGGTGGACAGAAAACAAATGAACAAAAATTATACTGACCTGGTAGATTTTGTTGACCCCACTCTTAGCTTCTAGAATCCTTTCTTGATCTTTCTTTTTATAAACAGAGATCATATTTGAAACTTTCCAATCAATAGGAATTTCTATAGAGTTAAAAAGGTTTCTAAAAGATAAAATGCAGTTAAAGCCTCCAACTAACTTGCTTAGCCAAAATTTTTATTTTCAGACATTTTCTATACTTTACTGTAATTGTTAAACTTGTTTACACTAAGAATCTTTATTTATTTTTCTTCAATAGTAGAAATTCTAGCTAAAAACAGTTTATCACTTATAAGTTGTACTATGCATATCTTCCATATTAAAGTTTCCCAGAAGGATCAAAATTATTTGTTGCTTTTTTAAGTAGTTAATGTACATGTATGTGTAAACATAAAAATCCTTTGAATCATTTTAATGTTTTGAACCAAGAAACGTTCATAACCTCTCACAGTAAGGAAATGTTTACCTTGAGTTTGTTGTTTAATTTAATAAACCTTTTAATCCACATTTTACCAGTAAATTTCACATTCTTATGAGCGTGTTCTTTATTGTTTAGTTATTCATATCTTCTAAGCTTTCATTTAAGAATGAGATTTTGGCTGTAATGCTCAAATATAGTGAAAGTATATTTTGAGCTAGCCTGATGAAATTAAATGTATCAAAAACATGCCAAGGTTTATTCAAAACATTTTCCTATGGAGACACCCTACCTTTCTCCACTAGTGTTTAAATACAAGCTTACTCACATTGCAGTCATGACCATGCAGTGTAATTGAAGTAATTTTTAGATTGTTTTAAAAAACACATATGAAGGGCCAATTGCTCAATATTTTTTGTTGTTTATAAATGGCAGATACTTGATTTCTTTGATTTATATATCAAGTTGAATAGAAGCAGAAGCTATTTATTTGTAGTATATTTGTTTGGTATAAATATATGTGTACAATCTAGAGCTGAGCAATTTAATCAGTTACTTATGAGCAGTGATTATCTCAGTAAGTGTCACATAAACTGACCAGTTAAAATGGAAATTAAGGTTTCCACTTATTAATTACCAGTTTTGATTATTACAACTAACCAATTAATCAAAATATTACTACCAAACTTGCTTGACCTAACTTTTTTATGGCAAAGCTACTAAGGCTATCTGCTGCTCTCACTAATGTTTAATTCTTAATATTTTAGTTTAACTCAATTTATTTTTGCACACCACAACAATTTTACTCTCACTGTTCTTTTTTACCGATTGTTTGGCACAGATAGCCTAGTTGTTTTGCGCCATAAAATGCCAACCAACCAACTAGTTTAGAGGATGAACCAATAAGTCCCATGTTATCCCAAAATGTTATGTTATTATTTCGATTACTTCAAGGTTGTTCTGCTTAATCGATTAGTGTCATGACTGAAGAAAATAATGAAATAATCAAAATTATCAAATTATTTCAACTATCCAAATCTTGTTGGAATAATTGATTAGTTGAATGTAGAGCTGGATAGTTAGTGGAATTTGCTAATCAATTCCATTCAACTAATTGATTATTTTTATGAGCTCTGGATAGTTGAAATAACTGGAAACATTAATTTTTATTAGTTCATTATCTTCTTAAATCTAACACTAATAAATTAAGTTGAACAACCATAAAGTAATCGAAACTGATAATGAGAAATTAAAATTGCAATAATTTGATTACTTGGATAGTTGGAATAACTGGAAACTAATTGTGATTGGTTGATTATTTTTGTGACATTAATATATTATTAACATGACACTAATCAAGTTAATCACCCAGCTCTATTTAGAATGTAATTTCCATTAAGGCTTTTTAAAATATTATTTTATGAATTTTATGACCACAATATTAAAACTATTTTTTCATCTGATGATAGTTTTTCAAACCAAAAGAGGAATACATCTTTAAGACAACAGCAAAGATTATACAACTGGGATTTGAAATTAACCAGTTTCATCCAGAGCCCATAACATCAGAGGAGTGGCTACAGAACAATAGCTGTGCTCGTAACTTTGTTAAAAGATTAAATTCGTATGAAGTGATTGCCAAAGATATGTGTATGCCCAGTACTTCTTCAGAAACTAAAGGTTTGGCAAAAAATTAAATTTGATTATAGTTTTTTAATTGCTAGTATTTTGAAGAGAAAAGCGTGTTTTAGGAATGAACAGTTGTATATAATCTGTAAAACCATGTTTCAAAGTATAGTAGAAGTGTGTGATTTTTGATGGTAAAAACCAAAAATAAAGATTTACTGTTGCTTTCACATAAGTATGAAAGTATGTGTTGATTAAAATATTATAATGACTCATTATTCAATCTAAGTTGGGTTTTTTTAAATAGTTTCCTACAGCTTACTCCTTTTTTCTGTTTATTTTGGAGTCAACATTTCAGAGTCTGTACCGAGTTCTTTACAGATCCTGATGAAGGACTTAAAGCTGAAAATGTTATCTGAAAATCAAAAATAAGACAGGAACAGTCCTTAGAAAACTGTTCAACATGTCAAGAGACTGCCTAAAACTTTCTTTAAAATAATTGTTTTTTATATTTAAGTTCCAAATTTTGTACTAAACATGTTGGATTGTCCAGAAGTATTTTGAAAAACAAATACATACAGGTGAGCCAATCAGGATAGAAAAGAAACCACTTGAAATAAACATGGAATATATGTATAACAAACAGTGGACTAATTTAACAAAGTTAGATGATTCAGTCAGCTGTTATCAGTCTTGATAACATTTTAAAACTATATTCAGTCTGCTTTTCATCTATTGCAACAAAATTTTCTGGTACATACAGGTTACAAGATATTTTTACAATTATAACATTCCTATTTAAAAATTATAAAACACTATTACAATGAAAAGTTGTCCACTTGGACAAACATTGATTTGTATGTGTTTATCTTGTTATGGTATAGAAGTTTTATGTTGAATGTATTAGCAGAACTAGGAGCTATGCAGTGTGGTCTAGAAAACAGACTTGTGGAGTATACTGGAAGTTCTCCATGCATTGTTACACATGACAGGAAGAGTTTCCTTTTGCCTCCTCACAGTTCATTTTTATGGTCTGACATCATAGCACTTGATGTCTTCATAAATGCAGGTTAGTGAGATTATTCATACACTGTGTGATTTTTACAATAACTGTTAATAAATCGTCATAGGGTATTATATGTGTGTGCATGCTTTAGTGAGATGGCAGTAACTTAGTTTGCAGATTATCCAGGTTAATTTATGTAAGAATGAATATTTGTATTTAAAGGAACATGTTTTTGCTACCTTGATTGACCAAGAGATTTTTGGTATGTTTTGAGATGCAAATGAATTGTTTTGATATTTTATTTGCATATTAATTGTATTGCATATGCTCTTTGCTGTAGGTTGATGTATATTCAGAGTAGACTATCATTAATGAAAAAAAAATGTCTGGTAAAATAATTTTTGTATATCGTGTTTATGGAAAAATCTGTAGTGGTACCCTATTTGTGTATACTAGATAGTATCAATCTAAATATCAAAGTTAATGTTTCAATGGAATTGTTCACACTTACAATCTGAAAAACTTATGACATATATATCATTGTTTTCAACCAATTTATGAATTTTTTTTTTGCATGGCATATTATTAATGTAAGTAAGAATAATTAATATTTCATTTTTATGTCTGGAATAAATAACACCCACAAAAAAAGAAAAAGTGCTTTCAGAAGGGAGAATTAAGTTTTTTTTTTTAAATGTGATTTATTTATGTTCTGATTTATTAATAGCTTGATAACTTATTAGGAGGTAATACAGGCTAAATTTGGTAGCAGTTACTGCTTTTGGGGGCAAACGTTTTGTCAGAAATCAAAACAATAAAAAGTAATAATAATATAAATAAAAAACCAACAAGAAGATAGAATTGTTTTCACTACTGCTTTCTTCCATAGTTAGTAAATCATATATTACGCCATCTGCTGTGTGAGAATACTTGAGTCAATAACATAAATTAAGAACACTTTTTAAAAAAAATTATTATTTCGTTTAATTTGTTATTACATTAAAAAAGTGTTTTTTTCTTGTGAAAAATGTTCTGAATGTTCAAAACAATGCTTTTGGTATTTTGTCTTACTCCAAAACCCATCTGAGTAGATGCACATAAGTACAACATAATATTTGAAAATATCTGTTAGTTTTTTTTCACTTTGAGCATCTCCCTACAATCCCCAGCTCAAATTCTTGACAAGTTTCTTCTACATGGAAACTTGCCTCATTTTTGCTCAGTTACTGCTGACTAAAATAATGTTCTATATTACCATTTTTTTATAGTACTTATACACTTTATAATTGTGTAAGTATTTTTGTGATGAAATTTGGATCTAGGAGAAAAAAATTCTTGAAACTAAAAAAGTTGTATCCATTCATGAGCAAACACCAAGATCACTAAAGTATTGTGATTTCAGTGAATTAAGGGCTTTGTTTGTTTAGGAATATAGATATACAAATAACTAATTGACAGTTTATCCTCTCTATTCACACAGGTAAAAAATTTGATGCTATTTTAATGGATCCACCATGGGAGAACAAGTCAGTGAAGAGAAAAAAAGGGTAGGTGTAAAGCATGACAAATACATTAAAAATGTCTCTGTATGAGTGTGTGCATGAAAAACAATACAGACTAACAGAAGGCTTTTCATTCTGTTAAGATCATAGAATTATAGCTAGATCTTTCCAGACATAATTCTGATTTTGAAACAGTAAGGGATATTTGGAAATTATGAATAAAACTGCATAATGCAGACAAAATGTTTACTGCTAAATTTTCTCATAAAAATGTCTATCCTAATTATTGTTTTGGAAACAGTAGTAAGTGAGGTATTAAATACACTTTTCACTAAGGTGAAGTTACATATTAGTAATAAAAAATAAAACCTTGAAATAAAGTTTTTGAAAATTTGTTAGCTAAAGTGCAGAAAACCTAAATCTACCTGGTCAAGAGTTAAGCATTCATGTGATTGTGGAATGTGCAATGAATATAAACAAGTACCCACTAAAACACCTACCTCAGCAGTGTTTAGCCTTCTCCTTTTTGTTTGAGGGCAATGGAGCTCTTAGTTTCCACAGTAAAGTCTTCTCCTTCTCTTCCTGCATGTGAGGTTCCATGGAATCAGTAACCTCAATCCTCTGTCTTTCATCCTGCTTTAGCCACACTCCATCTTCAAACATGGCTTTTGTTCGGTCCCTTGCAAGACAATCTTGACTCCTACATGGGTAGCCTTCCTTCTTTCTTGCTCAGTCTGTTCTTCTTTGATGGTTTACCAGTTTAAGTGGTGCATTTTCTGTCATTGGTCTTTGTGCTATGACCTCTCACCTTCCCAACTAAGTGTTCCCCACCTCTCTGATTTTTTTTACTTGGCTTTTTGACACTGGTTTATCTATTTATACTATTGCAGGCTATAGGGTGGCCTTGTCCAATACCTTTTGTTTTCCCACTTTTTTCCTCTCCTGTTTTGCTCCTTTTGCCTGTTTCATTCACCCCACCTAGTTCCCCTACCAGATTGGAATTTCAGTGTTGTTCTTCATGCCCTTACCCTTTGAACCTTTGGCCTCTTGCTCTTTGTACCACCTCTCCCTCAAGATGTATTTCTTACTTCCCTTTTTGTGTGAATGTTATTGGTTTGATATATTTGCTATTGACATCTCCCATATTCTTTATCACCATACTAATGTCCTCCTTTATCCAGGTTGTAGTTTCTCCCCAAAGATGCCAATGGTGCATGAAGGGAACATCATCTTCTCTCCAATTTCCTTCCCCTTCATCTCTCATTTGTATCCCAGATCTGATCTAGATTGTCTTCTGTGTCCAATACAGGCTCTGTGTTGTTATATCACCTGCATAGCTTCCTTTCATGGCTCTCATTCCAATTTTTTTATACCCTGCAATTCCTCCTCTAACCATGATCTTTATCCTGTTACCCTTACCAGATGGATTTCCCAACTTATTCACACTTATGCATCATTATCCAAAAATTCTTGTTGTATTTTCTACATTTTCTCCCATCAGATCTATCATCTCGCCATTTCCCTGGCTGCCCACTTCTGTTGTCCATTGGAAGAGATTGTGCAGGCTGGCATGCTGACTACGCCTCACACCTTTATTGCCCTCTATCTGGATCATTTGTCTGTCTCTTCCTCATCTGACCATTGCTTGCCACCCATCACCATTCTCCATACCTCATTTTGACTCTGAAAGGGTAAGTTCTTCCTTTTTATTTCTTCCCTCTACAATGTCCCTTTCTACTTTCCTCAGTTCTCTGTGTTTAGTGGTGACTGTCCAGGTATACTTGAATGTAAATCTGCACCAAACGGCTACACAGGTCTATAATGCTCACTGAAGAGATGGGGTGTTCTACAAGACCACTGGAGGTTGCCTTGCAGTATCTCACTTCATAAATAAGGACTGCACCAGACCATACCAACTCATGGACTTATCATGAGTAAAGCAGTGTCTGGATTGCTACCAATCCCTCCAGTTTTAGTTGAATAAACTGGGACTATCCTGCTTTTCAAAATAGGGTTTTTGTGGTTACCCAATTACACTGTTTTATAGTGGTGCTGTCTTCCTCTGGACTCCTCACTGTGTTGTTACTCCCTCCCTCTCTCCCAGTGCAGTATGGGAGTCTTTGCCACTTACCAGTTCTTAGCCACTGGGGTGGTGGAACATGGAAACTTCCTCCTGAGTGCGACCAATTCCACTGAGTTAAGAGTTTTCTGTTGGTGTGGATGGTGAGTTCTGTCCTCCTATCGAGGACCAGAAGATAAATACACAATGCAGCCTGGTCTTGGACTGGATGAATCTACCACATGCAGTTCACTCCTCCAGTTGGTTTTGCCCCATCCTACTGTTGCCTGGATGTCATTTCCTAGGCAGTTTGGTGTTGGGTCAGCATAGGAACAACTAACATAAGTCCTCACACATGTGGTTGGTAGAGACCCTCCTCCTGCCCTGGAATGGATGAAAAATTCTAGATGCTGCCTGGTTTTGAATTGGAGCTAACCCACTAAAAAATTTCATTCCCTCTTGCTACTGTTACCCGGATATTGGATGTCAGTTCCCAGGTGGTGGGGTGTTGGTTGTGTACTGAGTCTGCACACATGTGCTCTGGCTGGGTTGTTGGAAAACAAGTTATTTTTCCCTTCTGCTTCCTGGTTTGGAGGTAAAGATATTTGGGACTCTCCTACTGTGGACCAGAAGACATATACCCAGTGCTGCCTGGTTTTTAACTGGAGTTGACACACTGAATATGGTCTGATGCACAATTACAGATTGGATGTGCATATTTTCTACCTAACTTAGTGACACATATTTTGTCGACAACGAGCAAAGAGTATACCCAATATAGGTGGGGTGTGGTCTTCTATGAATGTGACCCTATACATTAGGGTGTTGCATTATGTGGGTTCTCTTCGGGCACTTTCTGAATAGTGTTTATAGTGTTAAAATTAATGCTATTGTTACTCATCTTCCTGTGACTGTTGCAAATGGGCTCTATGTCGATAACATCCACATCTTGTGTCGGTCGTCGAACATGAGGTTTATTGAGTTTTAGCTTCAGACTGCCCTCAGTCGTTTGTTGATGTGGACCACTGCAAACGGTTTTACATTTTTTTTTTCCAAAACCATTTGCATGCATTTTTGCCGCCAAAGAGGTCTCCAACCCGATCCCGAGCTCCATCTTGGCGATGCTGCTATTCATGTGGTCTCTGAGGCAAAGTTCTTGGGGGCTTATCTTTGACTGTAAGCTTACCTTCATTCCACACATCAAGCAGCTACATGTCAAGTGTACAAGGGCTTTGAACATCCTTTGTGTCCTCTCTTCCAGCTCTTGGGGAGCGGATCGATGTTCTATGCTCAGGATCTATCATGCCCTGATTTGACCCAGACTGGACTATGGGTCTTTGTCTGTGGTTCTGCCAGGACCTCAGCCTTGAAGATGGTTATGTAATTGTAATGGTTGCATAAGCATATGGTTAGAGCCACACAGCTATGTGTAACTGCAATATATTTTATATTTGCAATATATTTGTAGTTTATCATGACAATGTATTCAATGAAATGTTTTTGTATTATTATAATAATGATGTAGCAATAAATATTTCTAGCAAAGATTCTACTCATTACAGTAGCACTGTACTATGCAGATCCTCAAGCTATCAACTGGGCTTGTAGCTAAAACTGAAAACTGATTATAATACATGAGATTTTCACCCAAGTCTGTTGTGTTGCATTCAAGACTGAGATCAATGACTCAAGTCTCTGGATAACTGGAGAGGAGTCATCTTGAAGTATCATCTTGTTTATAAGTATTAACGTTAGTTTTAATGAAATATAAATATTACAATTCTGATGACAATTCTGATGATTTGTTCTCTATAAAACTGTTCATAGTTTGTTAGATTTCAAACTTTTATATTTGTTAAATTTATGTTTCATTTTTCTCTATAGTGTGTATGAGAATATAATTTACATTTTAATGAAATTGAAACAGTTAAATCATTGTGTTTTAATGATACTGGAACAACTGTGCTATTAATTTTGTTATATCTAGTATATACAACAATCTTTTATATTTTATTTTTTGGAAGGGTGATTGATTATCAGTGTCTTCTTGGTAATCTTAAAACAGGTATGCTGTTGTGGCTAATGAAAAATTGTGTCATCTTCCTATCCCTCAACTTGCCAAACCAGGAACCTTAGTGTTGGTGTGGTCTACTAATAATGACAATCAGATCAGTTTCATCAAAAACCAACTTTTCCCTTACTGGTCTGTATATCATTGTGCAGATTGGTATTGGGTAAAGGTATATGTTTTAGTTTTATTTCTATATTTCATTTTACATCAGTGTGATGAGCCACATTGTGTTTTATGTATAAAACTGAGTCTCAGATTTAAATGTTTTTAAATGTCATTTTTCTATTGGGTAAGATTCTCAGTTAACAATGTATGTGTGTTCTTTTAGTTACAAAAACATTCAACAAATTACTTCTATGTAGTTTTTTAAATTTTAGATAATATATGGAGAAGAAACTGCTGATACCTGAACTGCTTTTTACTGTGGAGCTGGTTTATTTTGTCACATCTTATACCTTATGTTTTACTCTTGCTTTTTATCTATTTATTTATTATTATTTAGAGATTTTTTGTGATTTTTTTATGGTTTCATTTTGGGCATATCTGGATCTAGGATTTTCCCTGAGGTTGAAAATTTCTATAATATATCTTACTTAAAACCTTTTAGTACATGTGGCAATAACCTGAAAGTAAATGAAAATTATACCATAATAATACTGGAATTTCACTTGTTACCGTTTTATTGAAATTTGCATATCATCTTAACTCTTTCAGTAAATAAGGCTAAACATACCGTAAACATAATATTAAGTATTTACTGTTTCAGTGCAAAATCTGGCATATTACTTGAGCAGTGTGTGCTTGGATAAAATAATACTTGGATGTTATAAAATAGTTCTTATGAGAAAACTTCAGTGGAATGTTAGCTTAACCATGAGTCATAAATAGATTTTGTGCTAGACACAGTCCTTAAAACTTCCAGCTACCAAGTTTTAACAGTAACTTTTATTTCAAGTTTATTTATTAAATCTGTCAAAATATTGGTGTTAAATGATTACAATATGAAATATGCATTGCCATCATCCACATTTCTATTCAGAAATATGTTGAATGTTTTCTGGTTGAATTAATTTCATCCACAAAATGAATTTGTATATGAAGCTATTGTTAGGCATTTAGCAAAAATGGCAAACAAAATTATATCACCTAATAAAAATTACTCAAATTAATAATGTCTCTGCAGAGAGATATACTGTATTTCTGTTTTCATCTTCTTCCAAACACTTTTCAAATGACCACAATTCCTTCATTTCTCAGCGGATTGACTTGAAGTTCAGTAGGATTATATCTTGGTCCAGTCTGCCCAAATAGTTTTTCATTTTTCTGTATTTAGGCCTTTTTAATGATTTTATGGGGTTAAAAGTAAATCAACCCAAAAATGCATATTTTGGGCTCCTGTGCATTCACATTTACAGCAATCAAGATGAAAATTGGCACAAATATAAATTTTCATCAAACAACACACTGAAATACAAAAACGTTGGATTTGTCCATTGTTTTTAGGGGTAAGGGCTGACAAAAATGCATAATTTTGGAGTTTTTTCAATTACCCGACCATATATTGACCAATTTAAATGGGATTTAGGACAAAAATATTCTTTGCAGTTCCCAAACAGAGATATAGACAATTTTGGAATTTTTGTCTTTGCTAAACTTTTCAGTGGGTAAAGCTCAGTTTGGAGTTTTCATGAACTATTCATGTGTATATTAACCAACTTACACAGGGTTCGGTACAAAGATACCTTCTTGCAGGTCCCAAGCAGTGATATAAAAAGTTTTGATTTTTCTGTGTTTATCACAATTTTTCTGGTGTCAAAACTGGCCATGTGGGGATTGCGTGGTGGAGACATGTTGCATTCACCTGTGAATGTTGGCCTCTCTATTTTAAAAAGGTATTCCTCAGCCCAGGAGGCCACTAATAACATCAGTAAAAGACCTCTCTTCTACAATGATCAGCCCATTCCACCATGGCTTATTATCATCCCCCAGATGTGACCTTTCCTTGAGTCATCTGAAGAAGGCAGATACTCTGGATTGGAAGTACCATCTTTTTTTTGCTGAACATCTTTCAAACCATCCTTCTATTCCTGTTATACGGATAGTTCGAAATCAGGTGACTCTGTAAGCTCTGCCATTGTTTATTGTGGCTCGGTGGTTCTTCACAGGATCCCCTCTACAGTTTCTGTGTTCAAAGCCAAGTTGTATGCCATTTCTCTTGGTCTGGATCACATAGAAGCTATGCAGTACACTGATTGTACCATTTACACTGACTTTTTAGCTCTCTACTGGCCCTGGAATTGCTTAATATTAGTTCTCACCTTGTTCTTGTTGATCTTCAACAACAGCTGGCCCATTTTTCTCTATCTTCCATTAGTATCCAGTTTTTTTGGATAATTGGTCATGTTGGTATTCATGGGAACAAGCTCGCTGACACCGCAGCTATGTCTGCCTGCTCTGGTACCGACTCAGTCGTGCCTATCCCATTTATGTACTACAGTCCTGCATTGAAGGTTTGGCTTCGCGCCAGTTGGCAGTTGAGCTGGAGTGAGCAATATCATAATATGCTTTTCCAGATCAAACCTTCTGTTGTTCTTTGCCTGTCTTGTTTCTGTCAGGATCGGAAGGAGGAAGTTGTCCTGGCTAGGCTATGCATGGTCACAGGTTTTTAACTCATTGTTTTCTTTTATCTGGGACTGATCTACGAATGTGTGGCCTTTGTGACACTCAAGTCACAATCACCCACGTTTTACTGTTGTTCCGTCATTACGTGCGTGAGAGTTGACACCATTTTAGACAGGTCTTTTCCACAGGTTTACCTTTTACAGTGTAATTGCAGTGTAATACTGTGAAGAGGGAGTGAAATTATATAATCCTCAGGACTTGCAAGAGGTTAATTTTCAAAATGGACGTAGCATGTGATAAATGATTGGTAAGCAGATGATAGTTTTTACTTTACATGTTCTCAAACACAAACTGTATTCAGTTTTTCTTAGCATGTCTTTATGCATTTGAACATTAAAATTAATACCCCTTCAGAATGGAACATTTTGATTATGGTATATTTTGTTGATTGATCTATAAAATGTCAAACAATGAAACTTATCAATAGTAGGTATGTCCACCAAAAGTGTGACCACTGCTTAGCCTAGTCTTTGTATGCTTCTAATGAGCCTTTTATATTGATTTATGACAGATGGTTCCATTCATCCATAAGGGCATTTCCCAGCTCATGGAAAGTAATTTAATGGACAGGGAAAGCTGAAGAGTGTTCCAGACATCTTCAGTTAGGTTTGTGCCTGGAGATCAAGCAGTTCACACTATGTGGATAATAGTCTCCTTAAAAAACTCCTCTTCGTCCGGAGCACAGTGTAGCCAAACATTGTTATTCACAATGACAATGTCTTGTTACCAATACACCAATGTATGACTTCAGATAAATGTCCAGGATCTCATCCATGTACCTCACAGTTGTCAGAAAATGATTATATTCAGCTATATTTGTTTGTTGATAGCACAATGACCTGTGAAGTCAAGATAAAACCTTAGCATATCCATAAAAACACTGGCATTCAATCTTGGATTGTCTGAGCCAGAAAGTCTTGACCCCAATTTCAGTGGTCCTGCTGGTGGTTCTTGGTTAGCAAGATCATAATACAGGCTTTCTGTTACCACAAACTTTTTGAGTGTATTATGGATAGCTTGAGTTGGTACAAAACTCAGAATTTGATTCTGTGTTCACTGAAAAGGGTCTCAGCAAGCCTATTATGTATTGGCTATATTCATGCTGTCACTTTTACATGGATTCCGTATCACTTCCAGTCACAAGAAGCAATACTTTGATTCACACCTAAGGCAGAAACATTAAGCTACAATACTAATTTGTAGCATACTGAGGCCATGTAATAGTTTCTTCAGATTTAGATTACCTCTGACACATGGTTGAACAATAATGGTATACATTGTGACTGTGGAACATATAAACCACTCCACATAGTGTCTACTTTGGCAAAGAGCTCTTTATCAGAGGATCTGGTGACTGATAATGAGTAAAAAATGTCCAGTAGTGAAAAATCACTTACTCACTTCTTGAAAATTAAATACTACAGGCAAATTTGGGAAAGAAATTAACATTCAGTATTTGTTAACATTAAGAAACAGTAATTCTTAGCAGATTTTGAGTAGTTTAGTATTAACTATTATACTTTTAAAAGTCATATGAATTTTAGCCCTATCACCAGCAGTATCTCCTATAAGGGGAATACTCCACTGTATGAATATTGATGAATAAGACAATATAATGAGCTGTTTAAGTGTAAGTTAAATGTTTCTTTTATCTGTGAATTCAAGCTGCTATGGCTTGGGATATACATTCAATACTTCATATTTATCACACTGTGTCGAACTCTCATTTATAATCTCAGTATTTATTGTAAAGCATTTTCCATTTTTAGCTTGTGAAAGAAGAAATGTTTCTATCAAACTAATGAAAAGCATTCAAAACAATATTGAAGGTTTGAAAAATTGTTTAGAAAAAACAAAAAAGATAATACAACACTGCTTTAGATATTCACAAATAGCTTTATACTATGTTATTTTGGCACATCAAGAATGTAGACCTGCATGTAATTTCCCACTGATACCACTAAACTTGGCTTCAGCATTCTTTCAAGAATTTAAGAACTTGATAATTCTCTATCCTGAGTCTTTATTCCTTGTAGTTTGAAGTTAAGATAACATTAATGTAACTTCTGAAATGATCTCAGACCCAGTGTAGTTCTACTTTTGGTTTTCTACATATTCACATTCATACATTCAGTAATTATTGTTTTATATTGGACATTTTAAGGACAATGTGTTTGTATTTATCCTTTCTGCATGTCAGGTAACACAGAAGGGGGAACCAGTTTATCCTTTTGGCAATCCACACAAAAAACCATTTGAAAACCTTATAATTGGTAGGTTTCTTGTGGACAGTCATGACATGGGATCATTCCAGCCTGTAGAAGAAGACAAAGTACTTGTCAGTGTTCCTAGTGCTGTTCATTCTCATAAACCTCCTCTGTCTGGTAAGTTTTGTTCTTATGTTGATCACTGATTGAAATACTCTGGTTTTGAATTTACTAAGATAGTTTCAAAACTTTAAGGATAAACCAGTTCTTCTGTTTAATTCATGTGATTAATCATTGATATGATATTTTATTTTCTTGTACAAAGAGTAGTTACTCAAAGATAATTTTAATTTATAAAATTGGTGTATATTTAAACTGCATTTAGGTTGACAGATAAGATATCTAAACTTGTCCAGTAATGGATATAGTTACTGTTGGGAAAACAAAATGTCAGGATAAATCTAGAGAGTGTGCATTACCAGCACAAAGAGGATGTCTAACAGCTAATGAATTACATAAGGCTAAAACTGCTAATAAGTACAATCTGCAAGTGACAGTAGAACATCAAACAATGATAATTAAACCTGTTACATTTGAGTGGGGCACTGAAAATGAAGGTGTAGCTCAAGAAGCATACATCAATTTCAAAATTGGTTTTCACAATAGATAGGAAAAACTGTCTTTGGGCATCAATAGATGAAGATGGTTCCTGTCATGGTGTGGGTTGACTAGGATTGTCAATTCATCTAGAAGAATGGCATTCTGTTTTATACTTGAAGGACAAACATTTCTTTAAAAAAAATAAATTGAAAATGATTTTGGAATATTTGATACAGACACAGACTGCTATGTATGTTTTTTAGAATAAATTATACAATTTTCTTATCTGGATGAAAAGCTTGACAAACCATACAACATGATGAATAATTCATATTTCCATTCATGATTCATTACCTACACTTTCTTGCTGTAAAAAGTATGTTTGTCAGATGTATAAATATAGTTTGTGTCAGTACCAGTGACATCATATTCAACATCAAATATCAACAATATATTTTAACCAGTTTGTGGAGAAAATTTTATACCTCTAAAATATTTGATCTTATATTTCTACACTCTATAAATGAAACAGTTTTGTTTCTCATGCTTATGCAATTCTTGTTTTGGATTTGAGAATTGATTTTGTAATAAACGGAATTCAAGTGTAATAAGAGTTTTCATTCAAAAATTAAGGAATTATATTTCTGAATGAATGAAAAAATGAAACTTTTGAAATGTGTACAGTATTTTGTTTTTTCACTCCTTTGTCAATTTCTTGTTAAGAAAATAAGATATATAAGCAGCACACATGAGAATATTGAAGGTGTGCATGTCTAGATTTTGTTAGCAGCATACGTGAAAATATTGAAGGTGTGCATGTCAGGATATTGTTAGCAGCACAGTGAGAATATTGAAGGTGTACATGTCAGAATATTGGAGGTGTGCATGTCAGAATATTGTTAGCAGTGCACATGAGAATATTGAAGGTGTGCATGTCAGGATATTTTTACCAGCATACATGAGAATATTGAAGGTGTGCATGTCTAGATTTTGTTAGCAGTACACATGAGGTTATTGAAGATGTGCATGTCAGGATATTGTTAGCTGCACACATGAGAATATTGAAGGTGTGCATGTCAGGATATTTTTACCAGCATACATGAGGATATTGTTTGCAGGATGCAAAAAGAAGCTGGGAATAATTGTGGAATTTTGTTTTTAATTTTTCTTGCAAAACAATTCTTTAAATATGAGCTTATATGTTAGAAACCTTTGTTGTTTGTTTTTTGTGAATAAAACAATATAGCCCATCTTTGTGTGTGTATGTAATTTAGCTGTCTAACCTTCAAGAAGGGAAAATAAACAGCAGAACCTGGAATAATGCCAATAAGAAAATTCAATCCTTTAAATTAAAAATTGTGTGTAAAAGGTAGTTTCACAATTTCTATCAAGGGTTTTTAATTCAGTGAATCAATTAATTAATTAAATTACAACATTTGCTTTGGAAGAGATACTTTTTAAAACTATTGTAAATATGAAGTTAGCAAATTTGAATAATTACATTTTAATACCTAGCAAGACCAAATTAAATAATTTTAGATGAAATAAGTAAGATCCTTGTGTGGTTAAAATTTACACAGAACTAATCACTTACAAAACAGAACTGGTATTTCTTTCAAGTTCAGGGAAGTTAAAATAATGAAACCTTAAATTATTGTGGATACTCTTATGCATAAAAACTGTATAAACCTCTGATAATGAAATAGATTAAAGATTATCAATAGGATCCTTTTTTTGACTACTGAGGAGAAGTGGAACTCTTGAAGTAATGATTACAAATGATATACAGTGGAAATAAGTTCAAGTATAACTGATGTTACCTTGAATAAATCTATTAATGTTTGAGAGCTGAGGTTAAGGTGTTTGATGTTTCAGCATGTGGTTTGTTTATTATAGCAGTTTTTTTTCTCGTAGATTAATTTCTTACAGATTTCCTTTTAAGTTGTTAATCATCTAGGTCTTGCCCCCCTCCTCCTCCAAGTTAGTGCATTTTTGTGTGGCTTTTTTTAATTGTTGTAGCTTGTCTTAGAATGAACAACAATTTCAAATGATTTTTGATAGCTAAGTTGATAGTACATGTATAAATAAAATAGAAATTATGCCAAAGTAAGCAATACATAACATTTGTAACCATTGCAGTCTGGTTGAAGAAGTTCAACGTCTCAACTGAAACAACAAGAACCATTTCTTGATTTTTTATAAGATGGATTAATTGAACAGAATGTGTAAACTAGAACTCTTCTCACATTCACAGTAGAGTAAAGAAAGCTTTAAAAGGTAGAAAAATAGTCTATACTTTATTCAAATTATTCTTATGCAATGAATAACATTTCTAAGTTGTTGTTTTTCTCAAATTTTTTTATAGTTTCTTGTAAAGCTTTATTAAGTTAATAATCGTATGAAAAGCTCTTAATGTAAAGCTTTAAACTTTGTGACTTAGTTGTATTGTTATAATGTGTATATTTTCTTTGCATTATAATCATGAAAGTTTAAAATATGTTAATTAACACTCATCACTCTAATCTACTGGTTTTTAAACAGAAGTTCTGAAACCTTATCTCCCAGAAGGAGCCAAAGGCCTAGAATTATTTGCCAGATACTTATTACCGCATTGGACCAGTTGTGGTAATGAGGTTAGAAGTTTATGCTCCTTTTATTGTTATAATGTCTGTGAAAATTGACTGACTTTGAATATTTTTTTTGTAAATTCTTTAATGATAGTCAGCAGTATTTAATATTATATCTTTGGGGCATCATCGGGTCTTTGTATTAAAATTCTCTTAATGTGTGTTAACAGTTTAGAAAAATGTTTCATATTAAAATACCATAACTTTTTTTTAACAATTATACAGAAGGTTAAAGTGCATTATATGAAAACAATTTTGAATATGTAAATTAGCAAGTCACATGAAAACTACAGCCAATATAAAATCACCTGGAGCAGCATCTATCAGAGTTGCATTTGGACATTATTTTTGGATTTTGTAGTTAATGAGATACGACCAAAAACTGATCACCTTGGAGAAGTGCATGAAACAGCCTTTTCTAATAATAATATATATGCACTCGGATTATAAAAATGTGTTCAGATGAGGAATTTAAAATTTCTAATGTAGGGATATTCCTCATATGTAATGGCATTGGAAAACGAAGGAGTATGAACAACTTGGGGCACCAGGACCATCCAGAAAAGAGATTTCCAACAAGTCCTACCGCAGCCATGGTAATCAAAAGTGTAGTGACTTGTAACAGGTGAGAATCCACAAACACAAAGATCGAAGTTAATAGCTGTGCACTTGCCCCAGGCAACAATACACAATACAATCAAGATAAACCAACACAAGTCATTTGTATAAAAATACAAATTGCTTCCATGATATAACCAGGAAAAAAATACCAACTGTAGTGAATAGTATGAATGGTACCTAGTCAGGGAAAAATGGTAGTATCTATGGGCATTTGACAAATTGTTTATGTACCTTGACAAGTGTAGGAAACCTAGGCCAACAGGGTATGGGTTCACCAAGATAACTGTCGTGAACCTCAAGCATCTGAGGAATTAAATGGGTATTCGTGATTTTTCTATGCAAATATTATCAGTCAAGTCACTAGATGTAGCAGAAATGGATATCTGTTCAACAGGACTATTGAAATGAGTGATGGGAAAGTGTTGTCCTTATACACTAAATAGATTATAGGAAGCTTGCAAGGAGAGATGATGTGCTTTGGAGATGATAGCCTTATGACAGAACCTTTTGTAATGGAAACTGCTGCAGTGCTATTATCAAGGTGCATAACCATCAGATAGGGCATGACTGGACATGGTAACATAGACTGTAACAAGTGGTGAGGCTCTAAAATCATTTTAACATAATGTACTTAACCCTCCGTATTAAGTCATCTTGTGGGAAAATCCTATAAATACTTACCTTAATGAAACTTTCACTTAAGGTAGCTATACAGTTAAATTGAAAATAAAAGGAATCAAAGGAAATTTGCAATTAACATTTTCTCAAAATATATTTTTAATATTAATATGACATGACACTTGGGTGCTTTATAAAATATTTTTATTGTCTATAATTGGACATAATACACCTACATTTATTGAATTATCCAATGCAATTTATTACACTGTAATAAACTATCTAGAGAAGGACTCGCCTAATATTAGCTTGACATGATGTACTTCTTATATGCATCTCTCTTAAGCTCTTTGTTAACATGACATGATGTACAGTTTAATTAACTATCTAGAGAAAAGCCCTTTGTTATCAATATCTGTCTCTATAGAAGATCTCACAATTAACTTGACATGATGTAAAACTTAAATAACTCTTAAAGAAGGGCTCTTTGTTAACATAATAATACTTGTCACTAGAAGAGGTCTTTTGTAAGCATGACATGATCAACAACTTAACTATCTTGGAGAAGGTTTATGTTAGCATGACATGATCAACAACTTAACTATCTTGGAGAAGGTTTATCATGTCATGCTGACATATACAAGTTAAATAACTCAAAAAAGGCTCTCTCTTTGCATGATGTTATCTATATTTGAGTTTAAAAAGAAAGCCTATTTTACTTAGAATAACCATTTGTTAATATTTTTATATTGTTTTATATAATCTTTGTATTTGTTAATTCAGTTTTTATTGTTCATTACAGGTTTTGAAGCTGCAAAATCTAGACTGCTTTGAACAAGTATTTACAACTGTACAAAGAGTGTGACAGTTGCACTTGTAGCACAGTATAACGTATGTTAGAATTCCTACATAACTTGTGCTGAACAAAAACAGTACATAAATTGTTTTTCTAATAAAATCTTTTATTTCAATCTAGACTTGTCAAAAGTAATTGATAATTTCAGGGTTGTATTCATATATGTATATATGAACATTTATCAACTTTTTTTAGTGAAGTGTACTGTTTTTTTAATAAATATTAAAATACTTTTGGTATGTATTCTCTGTGCTTAAGCATGGATTTCTACTATAGTCCCCCCCCCCCCCCATGGCACAGCAGTATGTCTGCAGACTTACAATGCTAGAAACCGTTTCCATATCCATGGTGGCCAGAGCACAGATAGACCTTTGTGCTTAATAAAAAACAACAACAACTATTACTATAGTTTACCAACCAGGTGAAAGCTTTAAGCAAGACAAACTTTAAATCAAAATATGTGTTAAAATGGTTAAGAACTACTGTAACATTTAGTAAAAATATTAACTTGTTTAAGTTCGCAACTACGAGCATTGGTTTTTTAAGAAATGTACTAACAGTATTTAATGTAGACCTTATTTGCACTCAAAATGTTTAGCAATTATTAACATTTTTGTGATTACTACACTGGATGGCAGCAGCGCTCCGTACTTTGATTCTTGAACCATTACTTTTCTATCTTATGTACATATATTTTATTCATAAAATATTTTTTTACAGCTTAGGGTTGTATTAAAATTCTTTAAAGTAACTAAAACTTCTTACACCACATATAAAACCATGAATTGGATTATAAATTAACTTGTTAGCACGCCCTCTAAACATTTGTTTGCTATTGTATCACATTCAAAGAACGCTTTCAAACGATAAATGTAATATTTTCGCAAAATATTCTCTAAATTTTTAGTTTAGTGTAGCCCCTTGCCAGTTAGTAAACATTTATCATTATGGGAGCATGAAATATTGAAAAGTCCCAGTTTTCTTGTCTTATTCGTTTTGGTAGTACAGTTTTCTGTCGTGGAACTTGTGTAAATTAGTGCATAAACATGTATTTTGCGACTAATAATATCTTATGAAATCTTACATTTCCTATTGAAATATCGCTGTAGTTAAAACCGATTAACGAGAAGAAATGCCCATATCAGAGTTTGAGTTTTACATATAAGTTTCTGGGAGAGAGTTTAGTGAGAGAAATCCACGTGCTCTTTCTGTACAAAGATTTTTTTAGAAAAGTATCGTTAAACTGATTTATAATAGAGCAAATTAACTCCTTTATCGTCTTACAAATGATTCCACACTGTAACTTTTTAAGGCAAAGCTCACTTGTACTGTAAATAAATAGGTTATTCCATATCTCTGGTGGTTGAAGGATTATACATACAAACCTTGTGTGCATATCTAAGCTGTGTGTTGTCGGTGGTTTTATCCTGATAGAAAGTTTGGAAATATAACTATGAGACTAATGCTAACTGAATAAATTAAAGAAACTTCAGGAGTGTACTGAGGTGCAGTTGAACTCCCTGAAAATAGGTTTTTCTTTTTGACAAAGCCTTAGAGAATTTCACTTTCTGTCACTAGATGGAGTCCTTTGGTCAGAAAGAAAGTTCAGACAAAAATAGTCGTGCATCGGAGAGGAGATAAACTGAGCCCAGTTCAAAGTAAAAATGTTTAAGGCCAGTAAAACGTTCACAATTAAGAAAATCGTGAAGGTGTTCTGTACTAAAGAATTTCTTATGAGCATGTATTGAGGCTTTGTAACTATATAATGAAGGTATGACATGTTTAGAGTAACAGTGTTTGATTTTACACATAGTTCACTTTTGCAATACTGACGCTCATTGGTTGGAGAGCACGCAGTCCAATCTTTCGTGTAAAAAGCTGGCCTAGCATGGCCTGGTGGATAGGGCACTGAACTTGCAATTTGAGGGTCGTGGGTTTGAATCCCGTTCCCAAACATGTCCTTTCAGCCGCGGAGGCGTTATAATATGACGGCAAATCCCACTATTCGTTGATAAGGGGAGATCAAGAGTTGGCAGTGTTGAGTGTTGCCTAGCTGCCTTTCCTCTAGCCTATCACTTTAAAGTTGGAGACGATTAACGCTGAAGCTTTCGAGCTATGGAGTCTGCTGTTGTTGCTAAGTCACCAATGGAGGAATATTTAAGCCTGGGATTTGCAATACGTCTACTGAAAAAGGTAGTGTACTGTACTCTAAAGAAGCTATTAAAACATCGTAAAATATACAAAAAAAAACAAACCGCTTTTGCAAAGAACGCTGTAAAACTCAAAAATATAACATTTTTGTAGTCAAACCGCCATCAATAATAATGCAGAATAATTAACCTAACTTTGCAAAATTGAATTACAAAACACAACTAAAATACAAAACGTAATCTCTATACCTTGTTTATAGATGTTTATCAAATTGCGATCATCGATACGTTTATGTTTAATGTGGTTTACAAAAAAAGACCAAGACACATTTATAAGTTTGTCGCTATTGTATGTCCTAATATAAAGAAAACATGTAGGCTAAAACTTATAGCTTAAATCTTACATTCTATATAAGAACGATTTGCTTATACTGTAGTAGTAGCGTTTCACGGCAGACGGCACGGGCAACATTTTACGGTATAGTGCAGCCATTACTGGAGTATTTATAACAGCTCCTTCCGAAGAGAGATTCATATATTTGAATGATTAAATATGTAGCACTAAACTTTATAAAAAAAAAGAGAGAAAAGGGAACCTTCGTAAAATGAAATAATGGCATACATTTATAATTATATACAAATTGAAAACATTTATATATTATAATTATTAGTTATTCCTGAAAACGTTAAACTTACAGTCCAACCTCATCGTTCCCATAGGACAGAATACGCATCTTGGATCTGCTTTCATTCACGAAGTAGATAGATCCTGTTCCCCTTTGGACACGAAGTTGTGCGCAGTCGTGACCTGTTAAGCCCTGACCTTTATAAAGGGATTTCCTTTCTCTTGTTCAATGGTTTGTGAGTAGGCTTGAATAGGATGTACCTTACCATCTTCTTGGAATACGGTTTGCAGTTTCAAACTGCCATTATTTTTTATTAGACGAACCATTTGTTCATTTGAAGAACATCCGGGAGCTGTTAATCTCGTGCCATTGTGTTTAATGAGTAGTCTTTTAATGTTAAGGTTTTGTTCACGATTTCGTTAAGTCTATCTTCGAGTTAAATCATCTTCCAGTATATCTTAATTTTCCAAGTTACTTAGAGCCTGCTACAAGCTAATATACTGCTTTCAGAAGCTATCCAAGTTATTCAGAAAACAGGGGTCAGGTTCTACATTTGACATGGTACCTTGATTGTTTTCTCCTGAAGTATGACGTGCCTTGCCTCCTTCTTGGAATACGTTTTCGAGTTTGAAGGGGCTGCTGTTTTTTATTGTTCGACGAATCATTTGTTAATTTGGAAAACATTCATTAACTGATAAGCTTGTAGTATGAACGTTGGGTTTTTGTTGAAAGTTGGTAGTTTTTAATGTTAACGTGTTATTCACAGTCTCGTTAAGTCTGTATTAGAGATTGGTCATCTGTCAGCATATCTTAATTTTCCTGCCCCCCAGTGGCACAGTGGTATGTCTGCGGACTTACAACGCTAGAATCCGGGTTTCGATACCAGTGGGGGGCAGAGCACAGACAGCCCTTGTGTAGCTTTGTGCATAATTAAAAACAAACAAACTTAATTTTCTAAATTACTGAGAGCCTGTACTAGCATGACATTCTATTTGAAATCTTGTAATTGACGTACAAGAAAAAGGCCTTCAGTGGTACGTCTGAAGGATTATAACGCTAAAAATCGGGTTTCGATACCCGTGGTGAGCACAGTACAGACAATCCATTATGTAGCTTTGTGCTTAACTACAAACAAGAAAAGGACACGAAGATGGATGACATCATTTAACCTTGTCTCTATCGATACCAAAATCAAGTATTTTATAATTGAAACGTCATCTTAGGCCAACCTTTAAGATAACTATGTTTCACTTCCATAAAACTGATCGAGTTGTTAACTAAAATATGTTTTAGCCACGTCAATTGCCTATCAATAAAGTTGCAATGAATGTTGAACAGTGACACGCCAACCTTTAAGATAACTATGTTTCACTTCCATAAAACTGATCGAGTTGTTAACTAAAATATGTTTTAGCCACGTCAATTGCCTATCAATAAAGTTGCAATGAATGTTGAACAGTGACACGCCGCTCTTTAAAGCAGAAGAATATTTCCGTTGCAGTATAAACACACACAGTGTACAACCATCTGTTCGCAGTGGATATCACTTGTTATCAAAACGAAGTTGCTATCTACTATAGAAATAATTTTTTTGAAATAAACCAGTTAGCGTAAGTAGCGAATTTATCACACACACGTAATAAAACCCTATTAATGTGTGTACGTGTGTTTTGTTATAAGCAAAGCCACATCCGGTTATTTGCTGTGTCCACCGAGGGAAATCGAACCCCTGATCTTAGCGTTGTAAATCCGAAGACTTACCGCTGTCCCATCGGGAGGCGTCTCATAAGAATAGGAACAAAAATATAATGTATAGATTTTAAGATTAATACCATGAATTTATATTATTTATAAATTTCTGGAAGAAAAAATTAACAGAATTCATGTGAAAGACCGGATGAAAAATAATAATAACAATATTAATAACAACAATAATAGCCTAAATGTAAATATTATTCCTTTAAAATGAGGCAATATGTTAAAGTTGAGAGTTAAAATCCATATCATGGGAAGGTTGTTAAGTCTTTTGTAATAAAAATTGTATGTGTACAGTTTGATACAACTTTTTAAAAAGTATCTTTTTGTTTTGTAGTGTAACGTCGATATACAGAGAAAATCACTCTATGAAAGTTCAGCGTTACCTAGTGGCTAGCATCCCAGTTTGTGGATTAGAAGGTTTGAGCCGCGATAAGCCTCTGAAAAACGCGCATTATATTCAGCTGAGAGTTGTTATAACTGTTACAATTAATTCTGCTACTCAGTTAAAAGCATTTCCTTGTATGCGGCGAGTGCTGCTGATTGTTTTTGCCCTTCCCGAGGCTAGTAGTTTTAAATTAGGGATGGCTAAGCCTGGAACTTAGTTTCCGGTCTCTTAGCCCATATATCGCATTTTGTTGCTCAGGTAAAAAAATACCTTTTTGGAAAAACTGACGCAGCGTCTTG